GCATTGGGAAAGGTAGGAGGAAAACCAGGACAGAGCAGAGTCTCGTAAATCGAGATTACGGAGGATAAGAATAAATTGTTGATGACCAACAGTGTCAAGCACAGCAGAAATGTCAAGGAGAATTAGAAGGGAGTAGCAACCACTGGATTAAGCAGCAATTAAATCATTGGATACTTTGGTCAGGGCCGTTTCAACATCAGGGAATCCAGACTGAAAGGCGTCGAGAGTTGGATTCAAGGAAGTCTGTCAATGTAGTGTACAAAACTCTCTTGAAGATTTTGGAGTCAAAAGGTGTTAGTTGGATGGTTAGTAAGGGACAAGGTTGGACTTTTTTAGAATTGGGGTGATGGTTGCATGCTTGAAGGTGAAGGAAACATACCAGAGCAGAGGGAGAGAATTAATATTTTAGTGAGGAGCAGAGCAAGAGAAGGAGGAAAAGCATGACTGAGATGTGAGGGAATAGGATCAAGGGAACATGTGGTGGGGCTGCAAGACCGAAACAGAGCAGAACCCTCTACTGTTGTAGCGAGTGCGAATGTGCACAGAACATAGGAGGGATGAGAAAGTATTGGTAAGGTTAGGAGAGAGATTAGAGAACTCTTCCCTGAGTGTGTGCAGCTGTCATTTCTGCTGAGCTGAAGTTGTGTGGGAGATCATCAATAAATAAGGAGATGAATTAGGGATGGGTGGGTGAGGGGAACGATGGGAAGGCATCTGAGTTCTGTTCAGGTTAGGCAGTAAACTTGTACCTCAGGCTGTAGGAGAGAGATATTGAGGTCAGGTAGGTCTGCAATAATGCTATTGAATGGGGAGATGCATCTACGCACAGATAAGGTGAGGGTTGGCCAAGCAAAATAAACATTTCGGTAGATATCAATAAAAGAGGAGAGGGCTGAAATAACAAAGAAAAATAGTTAGAGGTATGCACAAGACAATTATATGTAGTATTACTGGTAAAACTAATTGAAGCATACCAGACAAGTCATAAAGGTAAAAAATTATGAATACATTATATATATAATGTATTCATTTTTTAAAAATGTATATATATATATATATATAGCGTATACAGAGTGTTTTTAAAGTGGTTATGTGTGTAATTGCAGGGGGTGTAGTGTGTATATAGGGGTAGGCACAATACAATGAAATGATCATGTTCAGGATACAGTCTTGATGTGGTCCTCTAGAAGGCTACCATGTGCTTATGGCATTTTTGCTCAGGTCTGAGGCAGAAAACTTGAAACCAAGTTTGAACTGGGACAAAAGTTCAGCCTGGACAGATAAAGATAGAGCAGCCCACTAGAAGTGGTGGTTGCATAGGAGGTGTGGTATGTGTTTATAGTGGGTATAGAGTGTGCGTAGTGTGTTTTTGTGTGTGTGTGTGTGTGTGTGTGTGTGTGTGTGCAGGGGGTGTATTGTCTGTGTTTATAGAGGTACAGAGTGTAGTGTGTGAGTGTAGTGTATGTTTATAAATGGTATAGAGTCTGTTTATAGACGTAAAGAGTGTGTAGTGTGTGTAAGTGCAGGGAGTGTGTGTATATAGGGGGTATTGAGTGTGTGTAGTGTGTTTGTGTGTGTAAATAAGTGCAGGGGTGTAGTGTCTATATAATCGGTTATAGAGTGTGAGTAGTGTGTTTGTGTAAGTGCAGGGGGTGTGGTGTGTATAGGGGGGCTTAGAATGTGCGTAGTGTGTTTGTGTGTAAGTGCAGGGAGTGTGGTCTGTGTATAGTGGGTGTGGAGTGTGTTTGTGTGTAAGTATAGGAGGTGTAGTGTGTATATCAGGGGTAGGATAGAGACTGAAATAATTGAATTAGTAATTTAATTATTTTTAAAAATATTTACTCCCCCTCCCTCTTATCACCTTGGAGTGTGAGCACTCTGATCCCTGGTGGTCCATTGGGCTAGTTATGTGGTGTCTACCCCCACAGGGGACAGACCATGTCTCTCCCTCTCGTGAGCACCGGTGTATCAGAAACAGAGGCTGCCCTGCATATTGCCAGGAAGCTTAAACTTGTGAATTTTCACTTTGGTGACTACATTTGGTGGGACAGTCCTGAATTCATGTCTTGTCCCACTGCCCCTGTATGACATATTTGGTTCACCAGGGAACTGTCAGTGCAGTGTGAGCGCATCATTAAACGCATACGCATGGTGAAGCGGACTCTAAGAACATTCAGAGAGTGCATCAGAAATGTTCCTAGCATGGTCCTGACAGCAAGGGGCAAGCCAGATAGGCTGTCACGCCCCTTCAGTGGGAATATCTACCCCTTTTCTGGTTAGACGTGTCCATCATGCGGCTTGCTGTACTGAAGGGGTCCACCGGGTGGCCCACGCCCGTAGGGCCACCCAATGGCCATCTTTGATCAGGAGCCCGGTCAAGTGCTGCAACCCTTGTACAGCGCAACCCCCTGGTCTGTGTGAAGCCACTGTGCTGGGAGGAAGTGAGTACAATGCACCTCCTCCCAGCATACCTATAAGTAACGCAGGGGAGAGAGAGTGAGAGAGATTACCAAAAAGGCATGGAAGCAGGGGGTGGCTAAATAAATGTAAATTGTGATCTTTTTGTGTATATGTCTGTGTGTGTATATGTGTGTATGTGTTGTCTGTGTGTGTATATTTGATATTTTTGTGTATATGTGTTATATGTTTGTGTATGAGCCAGTGTGTATCTGTGTATGTATGAGTCAATTGATATCTGTGTGTGTTAGTGTGTGTATGAGTCAGTGTGTATCTGTGAGGGTCAGTGTGTGTATGTATCTGTGTGTATGAGTCAGTGTGTATCTGTGTGTGTTAGTGTTTGTATGAGTCAGTGTGTATCTGTGTGTGCCAGTGTGTGTGTGTGTGTATGTGTCACTGTGTATATGAGTGTGTATGAGTCATTGTGTATCTGTGTTTGCTAGTGTGTGTATGATTCAGTGTCTATTTGTGCGTGTCACTGTGTGTGTATATGTGTGTATGATTCAGTGTGTATCTGTGTGTATATGAGTCAGGGTGTATCTGTGTGTCAAGTGTGTTTGTCAGTGTGTGTTTCAGTGTGTATGTGCGGGAATTATATGCATACAAACCAGCAATCAAACGCCAACTCTACATACAAACACATTGAAACACAAACACTAAGTAGAAGTACACCACTGCTTTCAAATAACAACAGTATATACAAACATACAACTGCATTCAAATGCCAACACCACACATAAATACATACATACATTCAAAAACACAAAGCATGCTTAAATTTGCCACCAATTATTTTTTTCTATTGCATTAAGAAGTATTTATTAATTTGCATGCGGCCCTTGAATAAATCTTTTTTTTTTAATGAGGCTCTCGGATTACTTAAGGTTGGACAGCCCTGTTTTAGAAGAATCCCTATTAGCGCACCATAACCAGTTCATTGAGACTAAATGGTTATAGGGCCTAGAGTGCCCCTTTAAATTGTCATTCTATGATTTTTACAGCTGTATCAGTTGAACTCTATAATGTTTTAATTTAAATTACAGCTACACCCTAAAACCACGATGAGACACATACAATCTAGATGCTGAGTGCTGACTGTATTCCCCATAATGCCTTGCCAGTCAGAAGGTCAGTGGCAGGATACCAAGAAAGCTATATCCCACAAACAGCACCGTCTGCCTAACCCGACTTAGGGATAACACAGAAATTTTCCATTACAAACCCTGTTTAATTCTCTTGTCTAAGCAGTATGCTTAGTAATCTGTGTTGTGCCAACAATAAATATTTACCAGGTTGTGTGAGTTTAAGTTTTTTCAATGTCATTACATCCAAGTCAAGTTAACTATCATTACTCATTTGCAGCGCAATATCATAGTTTGGTTTTTCATTTTTCAGCCTGTTAGGATTTATATTAACATGTTATTGTAAAATTATTTTATATGTGATAAGCCAGTAAACAGATCATTTTATAGCTGTACAAAGTACTACAATTTAGAGGAAGCAACACACTGCAAACTTTCTAAATTGGACTTTTTTTTACACAAGCTTCACATAAGTTGAAAAGGCAGTAAATCGAGCAGTGATACTGCAGGGACATGATCTATACACCAAAACCACTTCATGAACCTGAAGTTGTTTTGGTGCCTATAGTGTCACTTTAATATAAAACCAATAGATGGCATTTACTCAGTGCTTCCCAGTATTCCACTCTCGTGTTTTATGCAACCAACAGAGGGCACCCTTAGAAACCTTCCCCTAAACATTTGATAAGAACTCTCACTTCAATATCAGTAACAGACTGTCTTCTACCAACAGACATTGTATTTTCCACCATAGATGCTGATTGGCTAAGGCTGTAAGTACATTTCTCTGACCTAAGCAGCGTGTGGATGCACTGAGTTTAAAAGGATTATGCTTCTTCAAAGATACATGTCTATAATATACTATTGAGGCACCATCACGAAAACACCAGCAAACACTTTGGCCTTGATTTAATACGATTGCATAAGCTTTTCAAACGATTTTATATTTTTGGAAAGACATTTATAATTATTTTATCAAAATATTAAAATATCAAAAATATATCATATAAAAAAATACATCAAGATATCAATACATTAAAATATTTGTCAAACTATGAAATCATTTTACAAGCTGTATCCCAAAAAATATGAAATCATTTTACAAGCTGTATCCCAAAAAATATGAAATCATTTGAAGAGCTTAACCAAAAATAATAAATCGAGGGCTTTGTGTCTGTTTACGGTATTATAAACGGTGTGGTGTTTTTGCAGAAACAAATACACTTTTGCATAAATGCTTTACACAGCAGGGCTGAAAGCATACAAAACAAAACTGATTCTGCAAAAGCTACTGTATAATATCAGAATGACAAGTTATGGAAAATTCTGTGTGTATGTTTAAAAACATCACAAGGCATTCTTTCATAACGGGAGTGCTTCTGTTAACTGTCATTTTCTTTAAAATACCTGGTTTATTTGCTACACTGTGAACTGGGATGATTTAATATCTCATTAGGACACCTTAGGCATAATGATAAAGTAAAAAAAAAAATAAACAACTGGGCTTTACTGGTTCACATTTTGTAACAATGTTGTCAATTCACCAACATTATTTGTATAGTATATGGCTCCTAAAATTATCTCCACAATAGAACTCACGCCCCAACATCAACCGTGCAGATGTTAAGTCTTATCTAACATTAACACAGATGACAGACTCACAAGCTTTCAACAGATCGATGCTTGTGAAATATTTGTGTTCATGAATAGCCATTCCGCATTCTTAAGTGTAGTTGAGGACAGATATCTAAAAAGCTCAGTTATAAGCTACTGGACTAGGGCTTATTGTGGAAACCGAAGGCGTCTAAATTGCATTTGGGTCTTATATATATATATATATATATATATCCCAAATGCTATTTAGACACCTTTGTCAGTACAGTAATTTCAAGCACTAGCAGGATGTCATAATAAAAAATATTAAATGCATGTTATGACAACCCCTTAGTTACTAAAAGTGTCACCTGATCTTTTCTATTGTTTAATAAAGATGACACTTCCCCTTCCTGAACAGCCGTTTGGGCCTAGTAAACTTGTTTTTAATAAATGGATCAATTAATGTAAATAATATATATAGATTTTTAAATGTTCTTCCTCCTTCTCAAGTAGTGTTCTTGTTTATATGACTAATCAAATCTTCTGCATTTAAAATTAACTTTTCAATTATTATTATTCTCATTTTTAAAGTATGAATTGTGCAGTAATGTAATACTAATTATGATCGATGACCAAACCTTTTGTGAATTGGGCTAACAAAGGACATTGTGAGTTGTGGACATCATGTTACACATGCTGTGTAGAGAGAGGATGGGAAACCCTGTTTTGGATGACAAGGAGTTAATTCTTAGACGTACCAAACAGGGTCAGCCAGCAGCTGCTTTCTATTTTAATTTAGTTCAAGGGTAACATTTGGCTCTTTAGTGGGGGTGTTCTCGAAGAGCAAAAAAAGGTGGTTTGCCTTTAACTGGCTAGACCCTTACTAAGAAAAATGCAGACGGGCTGGGAAGGAGCTTGGTTTGTTCACTAAATACCAAAATGTAGAGTTGAAAACCGATGTAGGCAAAAAACGGATTTTGGAAGATTACAAACATTTTTGGCTGTTGTATCCAAAATTTTGTAATTCAGTTTTCAATTAGCTACAATTCAGCATTTAGTAAACTAACATTGATGTTAGATGTGACCACTAATTTCTAAAGAACCTAAATTGATACCAGTGGGATTTAGAAACTTTAAGGGTTACTCCAAGCACCATAACCACTTCTGAGTTTTTACTGGTCATGGTGTCTAGGGTCTGTATTGTAAGAAATGCTCCACACACAGAGCTTAAACCCTTGCTGACAGGTGCGTAACCCCACCGCTCTGTCACCCATGTCTTTCTTTCTGCCCGTCCTCCCCATACAACGAGGGAGAGTGGCATCAGGTGAGGAGGATTGGGCTAAGGAGAGAATGTGCCCTTGGGGCTGGAATGGAGGTAAGTTTTAACTTTGTTTTTCGGGGAAGGGACCAATTTTGGAAGGGTTACTCTAAGCAAAAACAGTGTTTTTATTAAAACATTTGTTTCAGTTGGAATAAACCTTTGCAAATCAAATGTTTTAATTAAATGGCAGCTTTACCAATTTTAACTTTAAATTTGCAATTTGGTTTTCAATTCACCACAATTTCTTGTTTTGTGAATAATGTTTCATTGTATGTTTTATGCACACTGTATTCATAATTGTATTGACTGGTGTAATCTGTTTTATATCAAAATATATCAGTAAGAAATAAAGATGATTGTATTCTATTATATGTGAATGCAAAGTTAAGTAAGAGGCAGGAAAACTGAGTCGATTTTCAATACAAATGTCATAATTTATTCTATCAGTATAAAAAAAGTTCATAATTCTGTATTAAAAAGGTCTTCTCCCAGGAGAAGAAATATATTATTTTGCATTATAAATAAAATCATAGCATATTCACAAGTCGCAAACTCAAAAGAAGGCTGTGGCCTAGTGCTTTTTCGTCAGTGCTTTGGAAACTGAAGCTGGCTTTGAGTTACTAACGGGAATTACAGTACCACAAAATACTGAGGTATATTTTCTTTGCTCTGTTGAAAGCTGAAATTTTAGGCTTTTGAAGACAAAACGCAGCTTGCAGAATAAATAAAAAATAAAATAAAAGCATTCATAGACAGCAGCCTCTCTTCACCAACTAGCATAACGTAAAATTCAGGAATGAAAATACTGTTAAATCCCCATTATAAAACACGGAGATTGCAAAAGAAAACAAACAAACAAACATTAATAGCAGACATAGAATAGAAGGCAAGTTGTGAATTGTCTCTTGAATTCCTTAGTGGTGGGACACACAGTTCATAAAAAAAATGGCAAAACAACATTATGTCAGTTTTGACTCTTTCAGAGTTTACCAGTTCAACTGGCTAAAACTTTGTCTTCACATCTGTTGGACTGATGTTGAAAAAGGTAAAGACAACTAAATAGTTTTTTGGTGATTATTGCACTTAATAAAAACACATATAGTCTATGTGCTTCTGTCAAAGTTCTATTTGTTCGGTGTTCTTAGCAGCTTGGAAACGTAGTGATGGGACTTTGTAGGTAATTCAAAGAACCTCCAGTAGAATGGACAGGGATGGACACTGGAAAATTGAAGACTGTAGTGGTGGGTGTTCCTCGGTCAAGAACTGCTATTGTAGGACTACCTGCCTCAGCAGAACAGGAAGGAGCTAGCACTTGAGACTCGAACTGAAGAAGCTGTCCCATAAAGCTGAAATTTGGAGAAATTATGCTTCTTCTCTGCTTGACAAATTCAAAGGCTTCATCCAGTTTTACACGGTTAGTCCTCATGAGATAAGCAAGGCATATGGTGGCAGAGCGTGAGATCCCAGCTTGGCAGTGGACAAACACTCGTCCTCCTATCTTTTTAACAGAATCTGGAGAGAAAAGAATATAATGGGTTATTGTTAAAATCCAGGATAAAAAAAATTTGTAGTGCAAAAATCTAAACTCACAGAGAACCAATTATTCTTCCTTTAGCTAAAACTTAGATCAACAGCCCCTTCTTTCTATATCCATCACGTTAACTAGTTGAGGAGAAGGTGATCTAACAATAGACTGGCTCTGGGTTATTTTACAAGACCGAGTTTCCAAATATGGCAGTCATTTTGGTAGCTGTGCTAGGAGGAAATGCAAAGGTCCAATATGCTTGTTTATTTTTAATTTAAAGCCTTGAGGTTAATAAAATATTTATTGGATTGCCAAAATAAAAAATTTAACATTGATTAATTGTGATATCTAACAAATCCCACAGGTCTAGATGCAATATTTAAAGGTCTTGTTTAGGAAAAATGGAGTGCAGTTCAGTTGTACACTAGGGGTCAGTATAAAACTTTTTTTTTAAATGATAGCCAGGTTCCTGACTTGTCAATTGCTTATTTTGTGGTATATCATTCAGATTTACATTTCTAACACCAAATGATATTTTGCATAAAATATTCTGAACAAAAGTATATTTACCTATAAAGTCAATAGCTTCGTTGAACCAGGAGCTGATGTCTGCTTTATGACTGTCTTCCACTGGAATAGATTTATACACATAATGTCCTTCAAAATGATTTGGGCAGTTTGCAGAAACATTGATTAGGGCAGTAATGCCAAGGGCATCTAACATGTCTTTTCTAGAAGCATGGTAAGCACTTCCCAAATACAGAAATGGTAGAATTTCCACTGGTCCACCCTGTAACACATAGAAAAACAAATAATGGTAAGTGACCTAGAACGACTTAGAACAGGCATAATATAACATTTTCCTTGTTTTACTGACTTTCGCGTTAAAGTGTACAAGTGTAGTATTTAACATTAGACCCGGTAATAGAAGAACTGTGCCAATGCATTGGCAGTTAGATCAAGATGCTTGTAGGTTGATTATTTTTTTATTTTATATACATCTCAATATGGAATAGCTGGTATAGCGTCTGAAAATATGTTTGTGTTTTGTTTTTTACAGTGTCAGTCCAAACAGTAACACTATCAGCAATGTTTATAGTCAAATATTGGATTAGGGCATAGGTTTATTGATGGGAGTGGAAAGATAACATGGCAGGCATAGTGTTTAACCCTTCAGTAATACATAGGCTATTGTGTGCAGAATGGACTGTATTTACTTTATTTGAATGATCATTTTGCTGGTATGTATACTGACCTGATCATAGAGTGGGGTACCACAGGGGGTACAGTTTGAATCAGCACTGCCTGGCATACTGTTGGCACTAAGGGGGAGACTCAGACCCACAGGGGGAGAGGATTTGCTGCAATATTCTTGATATTCTGAAGAAAATATCTCATAGCCACCTGTAAAGATACAAAAAAAAATAGATTATCAGACTGGATGTTCTAATTTGAGTTTGAGTCACAAAAGCACATTTTTAATTTCATTTTGAATAAGTAGATCTTGTTTTTGTTCAATGTACCTTTTAAAAAGAAGATCCTGCTTCCTCTTGGGTCTCTACACAGGGCATGGACAGCTAAAATCATGGTACTGTCCTTTCTCAGTTGGTCCAAGTCCGAGGTTCTGTCATCCAGCAAAACCACTGCTTCATACAACCCAGCTATCAGATTGCACCTCTGCTCCTCGTTGGGTATAATGTGCTCCAAGCCCATGGTCCCTTTAGCCCTCCTTTTAACGATGGTACTGAACCTCACATTGCTGGAGCCGATAATGTGGGATGAGCTGAACGAGAAAAACGACCTACAGTCCAAAATCAGGCATTTGTGGCCCCCGTCTGCCAGGAACTCTTTCAAAGTGCTACAATCCATGCTGCTAATTTCCATATTGACCATTTCTGACGAGATCTCCTCCAAACAATACTGATCCTTGTAACAAAACAGATTCTCCCGCTCCTTTCGAACGTTCAGGATTCTTCTTCCTCTTGAGATACAATGTTATTTAAAAAAAAAAAAAATAAATGAATCGTGAAGTCCTATAGCGTCAATAAAAGCCAGTCCTGATATAAGTTCCAAGTTTTCTTCTGCTTGTTGTTTGTGTTTCTTTTATAAAACTTGAAATGTGTTTCTTGATTATTGTTGTTTTTCCCTAAGAGGCGGCTGGCTTTAGATTGAGCTGCAGCACTGCGTTGCCGGAGCCTATTTATATGATGGAATGGGGGGAGGGTTTCATTTTGTGAATGGGATGGACCACGTGGATTTGGCGGTGACATCAGCCACAGCGGCTCATGTGCACGCCCTCCCCGAGCGCTGCCAAGATGAACGACGTCAGCAAGGAGCAAACACAGAGAAACACAACTCACACAGCAATCAGTCCAAGGCTGCACATCAACTGCTGTAACCTTATCCCCCCAGCACAAGGCTCCAGGGAGCCAGCCCTATTTGCTTTCAATACAAAAGCACGGAATGTTCTTTTCAATGGGATTTTTACATACACACACACACACACTTACAAAAATGATACAAATATTTTTTAGTTAATTCCTGAAGTTTTTCACTTGGAAGGCAGGGATAGGAGGTGGTCGGGTTGTGATGAAATGTGTGAGCAGCCAGGCTGGAATTATTACCCTGATCCCCCACATTCCTTATTTGCCCTGATCATTTTTTATGACAAAGAACCACCTTTTTTTTGTTACCAGCTAAAATAGTGTTCATCAGCTTTCATTCTTGCATCAGACTTGTATTGCTAAGCTTTCTTATACATGTTTTATTCATAACTCACAAGTTCACCAGTAAAAATGTTGCAATTACATTGTATGATTTTATGTGTGGGAAAGTATGAGTTTGTGTATAATATATGTGTATGTGTGTGTGTGTGTATATATATATATATATATATATATATATATTTAAAGTACATTTTAATTTTACTTCAGCAAATTCAATTTGGTGTTTTTGTTCCCTGTGCTTTCCAATGTAAAATTTTCTCCCTATTAGTAATAAACCTAAAGTGTTTCTGATTCCAAGCGTCATGCATTGTGTCTGATTAATGGGTTATAATGCTAAACAAATGCCTTCTGGGACATTTAAAAAAAAAAATCATGTCATAGAGCAAATATTAAAGGAGGCATGCTTTGTCAACTGCTATTTTTTACACATGCGAAACTGAACATTGTGTGATGTCCAAAACAAATTAGAGAGGTTTATATTAGATATCCTGGTGGGAAGAGCCACAGAGCTTCTGTCCAGTCAAATTGAAAATACCACTTTGACTGGGATTACACAAAGACTTGTTTAACCCTTTTGTTTCATTCTAGTTTTCCCACACCCCATGTGAGTCGCCAGAAAGTGTGTCTGAAAAGGACAGAAAACTGTATTCAGGATAAGTACTTTTCATCTATTGTGTTGGAAATTATTTTCGAGTAAGAATCCTGTATTATAACTTATACATTTTCAAAGACATACTTTCGGGAGAAAGAAAGACCAGTGTAAAGATTTGAGTTAATGTTTGAGTAGGGTAGTGACCCAGAGAGTTAAACATTAACCTCTAATCGCAAGATAACTGATGACAAATGGCATGTGCTTTTACCCTACAAAATATGGTGTTGGATTATGTTACATAACAACGATAAGAATATTTATCAGAAGATTCACTCAATGGCTAAATTAAAATGTTAAATAGGAACTGAAATATAAAACAAAAACCAGAGTTGTTTCGAAAAAATTTATTTTAAGAACAGGATTCAATCTTTATAACTGGGCTTACTGTGACTATTTTTGTTTTGAAACTGTTAGGTTAGGGGTGGCTAAAAGATAGATCACTCACTGGTGTAAAACGGAAATGTCTATGGTTCATATAGATACTTCTAGCTATTTTTCTATTGCCCCCGTAGCTAAAATTGACCAATCTAGATATAATTTTAACAAGGATTAAAAGTTTACAACAGTGCCCAAAAGTTAAGCTCTAATGTCATATTATTGGTAAAGTTGAATTATATAAATATGAGTGGCTGTCTAATTCTTCTGCTTCGTGTATGGCCTTCCCACAAGCTTTTTACTGCTCTCTGTGGTTCAATATCCCTGTTTTGCTATAATAAAACTAATTTAAGACATATGTAAAACTAAACATACTTGAATATAGAAATGGTGCGAATTTACTAAGAATGTGGCTAAAATAAATAAACAACATGTTTTGGTGTGTTCCGCATTCAAGAAAGCGTAGTTGGCATTTTACACAAGCACATTTTGACACAATCCTCTGAGAGTTTCCGTTGTGGTATATCACATCTCAGAATCACAAGCGTTGCAGGAAATGAAGTCATCACCCTAACCTAAATTGCAGACAGAATTTTTAGTCTAAAATACACTATGTGCTAATTAAGGCAACTGTGGACTCACTGGCATGTCAGTTTTGACGGCTTGTGATATACGAAAATGAGTAAGTTCAACAAAAACAATGAATACAGCGTCAAAATACAAGTAAAACTGGTCATTTCTAATACCTTTATTTTGGTGTTTTATCCATTAAACCATTAGTTGTGGTGAATTGACAACCGGATTGAAAAGCGTAGGCCAATATAGCAGAATTGGGGGAAAAAAAACTCTAAATCAGCTATAGCCCAACTTCTGTCCTCCATTGTTCGGTTTCCTTGTCGATTCACTGTTTTGTAAATAAACCCACTTCATCTTTAGACGTACTATAAATCATTTAATTCATATTTTCATATCACACTGTAAGCATCTTTGCACAGACCCCATTTGTACTTTTTGTCCAAGTATTTATTAACGTGTAATCCCAGCAATTACTTTTAGGTTGTTTTTGGCCACAGTATAATATGTTCAAAAATGTGTTTTAGCAGTCACCAAGACAGGATCTAACAGAGGCCTTGTTGTCTCCAGACACAGAGTTTTCTGTAATATAGCCAGTTTCAAAATGTATATTGGCCTGACGTTATAATGACCACATCCCAGTAGGGTGTCTTTATTATATTTAATTTACATTGAAGAGTTCAGTGGCAGTAATGTGGTTTATAAGTAATTACATAAAAATGTTATGTCAAAATTCATTATAATCACCAATATTTATTAAATATTACAATAAACTGTTTATGTGATTCCAAAGAAGGATCTGTCTTTAACACCAAAAAATTGACTGACATCTGGAAGTAAAAGAAGACACACAATTCAGTTTAGACGTTTTAAATAATTTTATTGAATCTGTTGGCACTTTTTGCTAATTATTATTGTTAGCATTTATATAGCGCCAACTTATTCTGTAGCGCTGTATAATTAAATAGTATAAGGGAATATTAAAACGTAAACAAGGCCTTGCTCAAACGAGCTTACAATCTACGAGAATTTGAGGTAGATGGATATATATATCAAAATGGCAGAAATGCATAAAATATTTGACTTTTTTCCAACTGAGATACTAAGTACTATATTTTTAAAGTCAATAGTGCACCCATCACAACGAACTGTATAAAGTTCAAGCCCCACCCACCCAAGTTTCCCCTTAGGTTTCCATCGAACAGAAATATCAAAAAATAAGACGCCTTAAAAATCCACGTTGACGATACACACCAACTTACCCTTGTGATAACTTATGTGTAGATACTTACTGTTATGCATACCTCATGTGCACTGGTCCATGTTGAAATGTAGCTCAATACTTCAATGTAATGATTTATGTATCTAACACTGTCAACTGGACGAAATGTATGTACCTTCTCTGTTCAACTAAATAAAAAACTATATATGGTAAAAAAATAAATAAAGTTCAAGCCCCAATCTCATTAAGTGTTGATATAACAAAAGACAGGGTGATAAATGTTATTTCCGCTAGTGACTTTAATAAAAAATTATTACAATGTGGGTGTTAGGGGGATAAACAAAAAGCCATGTTGTGGTTTGTTAATTATATTAACCTCTTATTGGTAGAAGGGACAACACAGTCATAACATAAAGGGACCAACTTAATACCTTATCATGTAAGGGTTAAACCAGTGATTACCTGTAGCTACAGTGTCTATTGGTAATATGCTATTTTGTATCAACTGTTCTGTCAAAAATGTCTTTGTACATACGCTAATTTTTGCTCACTCATGTGACTAACAGCAAAATATCTCTGGCTGAAGCTGATGAGACTTACATCGTGGAGTTCGCTTATTATTTAGCACTTTTACCCAGAATAACGCCTGTTTTTTCCTTGATAAATATAGACAAAATATTTAATACATAACATAGTTACATAGTTACAGCTGAAAAGAGACTGAAAAGAGACTTGCGTCCATCAAGTTCAGCCTACCTCACAAATGTCAAATAAATAGAAATAATTATACATTAAATGGTTTCTATCTGTTTTATTTTCATATGAAATAATCTTTCTTTATCTTTGAGGGGATTACTCTGTTAATATAGTCTTCCCTGTCTAATGCTTCAGCCATTAGCAGATGGCTTCTCCACACTTTAAGACGTTTTAAATGTTTAATAAACCTCTCTCAACAGCAGGTGGCCAAACACTCCAGCTTTCTCCAGAAAGCTCTATGTACTTAATTTTTCCAGCACACACAAACAGGTTTCAGCCAACACACAAATCACATGACTGTGACGATTCTAGGATAGGCCCAAAGATTTGTGTGACACGTCACTGTGACTTAGTGATCTCTCCTGTGTACTCTGTATGTGTCATACAACATGCCTGAGTAGGAGAGGAGGGGCAGATAAAAGCAAACAATGAATATGATATATTTGTATATGGATACAAAGTGTTTCTGTTCTAAAAATCAATTTAAAACAACTTTTCTCTGCATACATTATCAGTTTCTAATTTTGTAAGGTTGCGTCATTCTGCTCTGTGAGTGAATACGGTAAACTAAAATAATATATGTGATCACACTTTTGTTTATTATAAATAACTGAGATATTATATTTATATAATTTTAATTAGATTATATAATCAGGAACAGGTTCTAACAATCCTGCTTGTGGAACAGGTGGGGCCTGTGTTTATAAGGGGATTACGTTTAGCCTTAATGACTACGTAGACTTATTACTTAATGTAGGAAGAGCCTTAATCATTGATTAAGGTGTGTTTACTTTACAATGAGAGACATGTGGTACGTCTGCTCTACTTGACCTACATTCTTCTGGCTCTTTATAAAATGACGTCAAGTAGGACTGGTTAACTTTCTTTTGTGGGGTATTTTAAATTTATTCAGCTGCTTAGCCTTGATTAAACATTTCGAGGTATAGGGTTAATAAGAAAACTACCTGCAACTGATATGTAATTTTATTGAAATATGAATAACTGCATTCATTTTGTGTAGTGTCTATTAGGTATAGAAGTTTAAAGCATATTGCTGATTGTTGAGGAATGTAGTAAACCCTCTCATTTAATATTAATTGTTATCTCAAAGAACTGTACATTCAGATTTTTAGGTGGTTTTTCTATGGTTTAGTGACAGCCAACATGCAGCTGTCTTGATATTATCATTTAGAAACAAACATTACCTCTTGAGCTGATTAAAGCAGGACTGTAACCCTCCAACCCCCCTTAAAAAAGAGTATTTTATAAAGAAGGAATCTTATAAAATACTAATTTTGACTGTGTTGAAATTTCATTGAAATTCCAACCTAGTCAAGAGAAATACTGAGACAAAGTAGGGACTATTTTGTCTCTGTATATTTAGTACGCCTGCCACGTCTAGACACTTTGTGGAACTACCGCCGTCTAGAAGTGTCATTCCCCCCAGCCGTCACCAGTGATGGCTGCAGGGAATTGGCTCTATCTATGGAGGATCCCACGGTCTCAAGAGATCGTCCATAGACCTCAATGCTGTACTCTCGCATATGCTTGAGAGTACAGCAATGACTGTTCCTGGCATTAAAGCACCAGGAGCTAAAGAGAATCCACTAGAGGAAGATGGCGGCACCCGTAAGATACAGGTTCAGGTAAGTAAATCTCACTTGTCCCTTCTCCCTGCCACTTGTCCTTTCTCCCTGCCAGCGGTCAAGTCACTGTCGGGGGTCTTTGCGATACCTGCTTAGTCCCAGAGTGTGACAGTGCCACTTTACCCTGAATGAGTAACCTATTAGACCACCAAATTCTAAGATAAAAAAGGTGGATTCTGTCACATTGAGCATGAGTTTATTCCTTTCAGACAGGAGGCTAATTAAGGAGTAATAAAAGGCTAAGGGAGATTACTAGTACAGGGGGCTGAGAAGGGCAGTAATCAAGGGTTACTAATAGAGGCTGTGGTGGGTTAAAATAGAGAGGTCTAGAGAGGGCACTAGAAGTCTTGGAAAAGTGCTAACAGATGAGGCTCTGGAGAGACGTATGTAGAGGAGGCTAGAGAGTGTACTTATATATGTTAATATATCATAAAGGCGGCCAAATAAATAGTATTAATACAAGAGGCTGAGAAGTGTACTAATAGAGGAGCTGTGGCACTTATAAAGAGGACTGCGACGGTGCTAACAGACCAGGCTGGGGAGAGTAACACTAGAGGAGGCTGGAGATAGCATTAATAGAGGAAGCTAGAGGTAGCATTAATAGAGAAGGTTTGAGAGAGTAACACTAGAGGAGGCTGGGGAGAGTAACACTAGAGGAGGCTGGAGATAGCATTAATAGAGGAGGCTGGAGAGGGTACTAGAAGTGCTAGAAGTGCTAATAGGAGAAGCTGTGATAGGTACTAATAGAGGAGGTAGAGGAGGGTAATAATGGAGAAGTCTGGAAAGAGTACTAAAAGGATGGAAAGATACTGGGAGCTGGCAGACAGGTAAGGCCAATATGGGCTATGATTTATGGAGGTCCATGGCATCACACCACTACCATGTAATATAGGGATCATTACACTATGATATCAATGAGCTGGACAACTTTTGTAGGTGCCCCTGACAATGTCTTCAAAAGTTTGTAAGCATAATATTAGAACTATTGCTTGTAATGGACAGTCCTCCCCAGGGCCAGTGCAAGGATTTTTGCTGCCCCCCCCCCCATATGTGCTGCCCACCATGTGACATCACAATGCCCCGCCCATATGATCTGCCATATGGCCCAACGCCAGTCTTCACAAAGTGTCTTTTATCTGAAAAGATAGTGTGTTTACAATAAAAAGCCTACAGGCACAGGCTATAGACACCAGAACCACTACATTATGCTGTAGTGCTTCTGGTGACTATAGTATCCATTTAATGTGAGGTAAATTAGAGATTAGTGCCACTAATAATATGTTGGATTGCCTACTTACCATTAGATGAAGACAAGAGGCTGATGATAGGCTCAGTCTAGCTCCACAGGTCTGGTGTAGAAGAGGCTCTCTGGAGACTGTTTTTAACAGGGCTCACAACAATTAACGAACAGGAAGCAGCTCCATTTTTTAGGGCCCCTTACACAGCTCAAGGTCTGGGTCCCCAGGGCTTGACCGTGAGTATGCCTATAATGCCCACCCATAAATCCACCTACATGGCCCACCCATGAGTTCTCTCACAGGAAGTGGAGTGTATTGTGTGTAGGGGATGTTTTATGTGTTATTGTAGATGATGCAATGTGTGTGTGTTCTTATAGAATGTAGTGTATAGGGATACCAATTTGTGTAAGGGATGTAGTGTGTTTATAGGGGATGCAGTGTGTGTTTGCGTGTAAGGAATGCATTGAATGTTTCTGGGTGTATGTGTGTGTGTGTAAGGGGTGCAAGGTGTGTTTCTGTGTATGTAATTGAATGCAGTGTGTGTCTGAAAGGGGTGCATTGATTGTGTAAGAGATGCATTTTGTTTCTGTGTGTAAGAGAATGAGTGTTTGTGTGAACGTAAGGGATGCATTGTGTGTTTCGGGTGTGTCTGTGTGTGAGTAGGAATGCATTGTATGTTTCTGTGTGTGTGTGTGTGTGTGTGTGTGTGTGTGTGTGGATGCATTGTGTATGTGTGTAGTTTAAAAGAGAGGGTTTGTGGGGTAGGATAGGGACTGAGAGGGGAGCAGCTTTTTATTTTTTTCATAGTGCTCTCCCCTCTTGTCAATTATTGATTTCCCCTTCCCTCCTGTCCCTCCGTGTTCTCCCCTTCTGTCCCTTAGTGCTCTCCGTTGGCCCTCTGTCCCTCTGCAGTCCCCCCTTGGTGGTCTTCTCAATCACCCCTCTTCCCCTTAGTGGTCCTCCATCCCTCCCCTTAGTGGTCCTCCCTCTCCCAAACCCCTTAGTAGACCTTCCCCTCCTCCTCCCACCCCCTTAGTGGTAATCTCCCCCCACCTCAGTGGTCATTATCCTCTAGGTGGCTGGCTAGGTCGCCTTACAGGTAGCTCCCTGGGTGAGAGGCAGCAGGAGTGTGCACAGGACACCTCCTATACCCGAACAAGCACCTGCCTACTGGCATCATTTGTTGCATGGCAAGTTTCTGCTCTGCAGATTCTATTTAGCAGACCATGCGAGTGGTAGCGAGTGGTAGCTGCTGGGATCAGTCTGTGCTCTGACTGCACAGCTTCCTCACCACTCTGAACTAATGCCAAGAGTTGGTATGTACACTAACAGAAAGAAAAAGGTTACCTGCGCTCTTTGTAAATCCCTTTGAATATTTAAATAAATGAAGGGCTTTTAGAGAGACTCTCAGGTGGGTCCTACACCAGCCTTTCACCTTGCTTCCCTGAGCTTCTGGCAAAGATATCTCTAATGAGACAGAAAGGGGTATTTTTTATATAAGAAGCTCAGGAAGGCAAGGTGAAAGGTTGGTGTAGAACCCACCTGAGAGGTTTGCCTTGATGTGACAGGTGGGCTAAAGTCTCTCACGGCCACTGGAGAAACTAAAATAAAACCTCCATTTATTTAAATATGCATAGGGATTTGGGAAGAGCGCAGGTAATTTTTTTCTTTGGTTTTTACTGTATGTATTGGGGCTGATGTGTACTATGGTCACTGCTGCCGCCCAGGAGTGGTGTGAGTTTGAGCGCAGGACCTGTTTTTTTGTATTTGTAAGAGTTTATATGTAACATCACTGCTGCCCCATCATCAGTGCAGGGCTATGAGGAGCTGTGTAATCAGTGCACAGACTGATCCCCACAGCAAACCACTGCACACCAGAGATACAGCACAATAAACGATAAGTGTGTGTGTGCGTGTGTGTGCACATGAACGTGACAATGTCTTTGTGTAAATGAATGTGAGTATGCGTGTTTCTAAATTCGCTAACAAAAGGGAAATTGTAAGTATGTCTCTGACTTTTCTTAGATCTAATTTGGTTAGAAATAGTGTCCTAAAAATTATTTTTTTTTTTTATACTTAAAAATAACAAAATGCATTTTAACACACGTGGTTTACTAAACAAAATGTTACTCCAACTGGAAAAAAATACCTAAACTTTAGAATATTACCTTGTAGTCCATGCTGGACATTCTCCAATCAAATGCTTCCCATAGAGAGCACAGATGTCAAATCACTACCAACCCAATACTTCTCGTATAAGCACTGGAGTGTCAAACGTCATGTGTAAATGTTCATACACACAAACAGCTAAAATCCTGGCATATCTATAACGTTCAAGCATCAAACTCCAGCAAGTCCTAAAGATCGAAATAAAGGAAATTGTTAAATTCTAAGTTTCCATCTCCCAAAGGCATAGAAAGCTGTGTGTTGATCAGCATAAAGGGTTTTAGCCTAAATGTAATTATTTTAAGTGCTACTACCCCTGAAATTAGTATGATCCTATCCCACAAGAATAACATGAGCTAATGTCATTGTAATGCTAAGCGTAGGTTTTTTTTGAATGCTTAAAAAAATATTAATGTTCGAATGTTTTGAAATATTAACTTAATGTTTCTATAGTAACTAAGTGCTCTTGAGCATTTTTATGATCATTACTTTATCTGCACAGTGATAAAACTGTTTGTTTCTAATTTACACAAGAAAATTGGCTACCTTGCGTGTTCGGACTTTTGTTGTTTTGTGTAAACATATAGTGCTGGCATTAATTAAAAAGTAAGAACATTTGGAGGTGGAGATAAGATTACAGTGACATCGAACATATAAATACAGGATAGCATTAATTATAGCTAAATTCCTATTTCACGGAACCAGGTTTATTAAAAATAAATATTTGTCGAAATACCAATTCAAGTAGGTAAAGTGGCCACACACATATTTTTATATCTCCTTCATCTCTCCATGTCTTTTCATAATCTAACCTTTTCATCATCTCCATCTAATCTACGCTTTTCCTATTTCCCCAATGCCCTATCTTATACCAATTAATCTTTCAGCCATTCATAACATGTGATTTCAAAATTTTGTTTAAATATTTTTGTTTTGGCTGTATAATTGCTACAGCATTTTGTTACGTTGGTTGATGTGGCACCTCACTATAGCATAATGATACCTAGTATATCTCTCCTGGAGTCCTGGTAGGTGCCATTAGCATGTGGTCAACCACTTTAGCAGACAGTTCCCAACCTAGTTACTTCCAGACTGTTTTCTTCTAACTTGCATCAACACCTGTGAACAAACTGGAAAGCATATTGGCTATTGGTTATGAACGATATAGAAACTTGACCTCTTCAGTAATCGTAGGGATGCTAAATGAACATACACTCATCCATTTCTCCTGAAACTGAAGGGGCATGGAGGAGTATAAGCTCTTGATTTCAAGGCTTTAGCCTCTATAATAAAAAAATATTATTGACTGATCAACAAACTGATCTACATTTCAATCGCTGAGGAGGTTCCATAACTAATGGGAAGTTTTGCATATTCATGTCACTTTCCTATAACCCAGCCCCACCCCCCTCAGCTAGAAGCAATGGGCGGTCTTTCTTTGCCCATATAGCAAAAGAGCTTTTTGTCACCTCCACTAGCAGAGCAAAAAGCTACATATCTCCACTTAAAACCGGATATCAATAGGAACGTACATGCAATTATTCAAGATGCTTTGGCTATCAGGCCTAACAGGTTCTAAGCAGGGCTAATAGAGGCAGAAAGAGGAAAAGCATTGTTATGGTAACATAACACAGAACTATAATAGAACACACAAACACCAAACCCATAATATAAAATACAAGCAGTAGATCTCACAGTGGAATCATCTCACACCCTTGAAGTCTTGATGGTCTGCATCTATGAAACACACACAGGTAGTGTAAAAGGGTCAATTATGGCTCCCACAGCCACAGCAGGCAGCCATCAACTTTGGTTAGGTTAAAATCCATGTTTATTCATCCACATTAAAAAACACAATCTTATCTGTACACACCCTGTAGATGTACAAAATTATTTAAAGGGACTCTTTAGTGACTATAACCAGTTAATCCCTTTGATGTCCCCAGGCACAGTCCCTCCATTCAGTGTTAAACCATTTTAGAGCAGTTTAACAGTAAATAAGGTTCCCCGGCCACCTACAGTCCAGCCCCTTCTGGAGGTGGGGCTAAGGCAGAGATTACACACTTCCTTGAAGTCACCCCCTTCATACAGTCAGTTGGAGCTCTGATAGGCTAAAAGCAGTCAGCTGACACTCTCAGCCAATCACAGCTGCCCATTGCTGCTAAGGCCAATAGTTCTTCATTAGCTGTAGCAGCACAGATGGGATGGGCTGCTGGGAACTCACATTTAGCATTAACATATAAAAACGTTAAAACAATGTTTAATGCTGGATGGAATTATGGAACCAGGGGATTCCAGACACTATAACTTGTTTAATGAGATGCGCCTACAGTGTCCCTTTAAGCATGTTATCATAGTCGTCCTGCTTTGTTGTTTGTTCTAATAAATGGCTATGGATTTACGAACTGTGCCTGTTTTTTTTAATACCTAAGTACATTCCATGGTGAGGTGCAGTAATACAGAGCGACAAACAGGTGGGTATACAAAGAGACCTACTATATTTCATCCAGTGTACACTCGAAGAATGG